AGGCGTGTCAAAAATCCGCCGCGGGACCCCCCCTTCCCCCCTCAGACTCCCCTAACCACCACTTAGAACACGCCTCGCCCCTTTGCAGAGACTAACTTGGCTTTTGCAAAGGGGTCGGCGGATTTGAAGCAGGGGTTAAAACTTAAGAAAATTCATAGGACAGTTAAATTTGAGCAACGGGAAATTTTAAAACCTTACATCGAATTTAACACTGAGAAACAAAATAATGCTAGAAATAATTTTGAGAAAGATGTTTATAAATTGATGAACAATGCCATATTTGGAAAAACAATGGAGGATAAGCGAAAACATTTAGACTTTGAAGTTGTGAGTGATGAAACTAGATATATGAAGTGTGTAAGTAATCCTAACTTCAAACATAGTCATATCATTAATGAAAATTTGGTTGGAGTTGAAAAGCAAAAACAAAGTTGAAACTAGACACACCTATATTTATTGGGATGAGTATTTTAGATTTGAGTAAGCAACACATGTATAAGTTTTATTATAACGTTATGAAACCTAAATATGGAGATAATATTAAAATGGTATATACTGATACTGATAGTTTTGTATTTCATACTAAAACCGATGACATTTATGAAGACCTGAATACAATTAAAAAAGAAATATATTTTTCAGATTATCCTAAGGAACATAAATGTTATGATGAGAATAACAAGAAAGTATTAGGTACATTTAAGGATGAATTGAAAAGCAAAATATAAACAGGGTTTATAGCCCTTCGTCCTAAATGCTACGCTTACTCAGTTTATGGTGATGTTAAAAAATATATAAGAAATGTAAGGGCATAGCAAAAGCCACAGTAAGACGTCAAATGAAATATGAAGAGTTTGAGACGGTTTTAAAAACTAATGAGGTTATACATAAGTCATTTAATAGTATTAGAAGTAAAAACCATATAATTTTTAGTATAACAACTAATAAAATTGCTCTTAGTAGTTATGAAAACAACAAATATTGGATAGATAGTATAAACTCACTTGGTTATGGCCATTAAAAAATAAATTCTTTGAAACCGACTTAAATAAATATTGACTTAATATATTAAGCGCAAAATGACACTGTTTAATTATAGTAAGTGCGAATGGTGCAATAATAAAAATAATGATATTGATTTTACATTGTATAACATATTTCCTGCTAATCTGTGTAATAAAATAAGTGAATATGATGTATATTGTAATCAATGCTGTATAACAAGAGACCTTGAACAGTTTTTTGTTGAAGAATATAAGGATAAGGGATATACAAAGTTTCAATTACAATTGAAATTATTTATGAGATATCAAGAACGATTTCCTGTATGTTTTTACAATAAAATTGCTAGAAAGTCAATTGAAAAAGAAATTGATGAGTTTTTTAATAATAAAGATTTGATTAAAAGGTTTGGAGGAGAACTACGCATTAAACCATATAAATCATTTGCTAAAGAATTTCGTGAATTGTTTGAAGATATTGATTTGCATTTATTAAGCAAAGATAAATTAACGAGGTCTTGAATGAATTTAGAATAACTAAATATACTATATGGTATTACCGCAACACCAAATATAAAGTATGGCTATTAGTTAATTTGTTTTTCTGGGAATATATGTATTCAATAATAGGAAAAGACAATATCAAATATATAGACATTGGTGATATTGATAAATATGTAGATTACATAATTGAAGACATATTTCCTGACTATTATTCTAATCCTTAATTCTTAATCATAGTATAATTATGACATGTAAATTATTATATGTTATAATTGTAATATACTTATCGTTTGTAAAGATTGAATTATGTTTCTTATTTTTCTTAATTAATGACTTAAACTGACTTAAAGAAATACCAACTATATATTAATAGAAATGGTGGGCACCGAAATCAATAATTATATCAATAAGAAATGCTACGACTGTTGCCACTTCAAAAAAGAAAATATGGAAATATACAAATTTAATTTACCGAATGGAATAGTAAATAATATTATTGATTATGCTTTGAGTGAAGAAGATGTATGTAGAACTTGTAGAAGATGGAGACGATATCAAAATATAATAGACCATTGTTTGGAGATTAAAAAATAGATGAAATAAATGTTGAAGATGAAATCTTGATATTTTTAGCTGTGTATAAAATACCACCTTATGATTATGTTAAAGCATTTCTTAAAATCAGTAAGAAAAAGTATGAAATTATTGACTACATATTATGGGCATTGATTTATCAAGGAAAAAAAGGGTTTGATGTAAAAACAAAACATTAAATCATATATTGAAAGTGAAAAAGTTTAATGTTAAAAATATGGTGAGATATATTAATATTATTTTTAAAATGATGTATGAACGAAGTAAACCATATCAATTAAATAGTTATCCTGAACTGAAATTATAATCATACTATAATAATAACATGTAAATTATTATATGTTATAATTATATTATACTTATCGTTTGTAAAGATTGAAATATTATATTTCCTAATTTGC